CGACGTCAACGCATGATAGAATAACGTTGTCTCTTTCTAAGGTTGAAGATGTTTAGATAGTCCAAAAAATGATGACGAAGATGATGACGAAGACGATGACGAAGACGATGACGAAGACGATGATCAACAAAAGATGCAAAAAACCTGTAATGGAAGCATGGACGCCGATGGCTGTTGCATTGAACGATTTCGTTGTTTTTGCTACTTTATTTGATGATGAAGCAGGTGATGAGGAGAAGGAAGATGATGATAACGATGATGAGGTTGATAAAAATGGTGATGGTGATAACGATGACAATATGTGCATATTATTGTTTTGTTTATTTTGGGACGAACTGAGTTTTAGAATAATATTATTAATATTATTATGTTTATCGTCGTTGTTTTTGTTGCTAGCATAACTCCGGTTATAATTCTCAGTGCTGTTTTCATCATCATCATCATCATCATCATTCTTATTCTCACCACTATTCAAACCATCATTAAGCTTGTCGTCCACACTACCGTGGTCAGTGACCACAACACCCCCATCGCTAGTCACGTGACCCGTTCTAACTTCCGCTCCGACTGAACCTTCAAAATAACCGATAAACCGACATGTGGACAAGAGCTTCAAGACATCGGCGCTTGCTTTCAATCGGATTCTTCCGGTTTCACTTCCGCCGTTTTGTAATTTGATGACGTCATCGATGGTAGGGATGGTGGAATGAATAAAAGGGTGCCGGACACGGAAGGTGGCGGTGGTGATGAGGAGGAGGAAGAAGAGGTTGGATAATGTGTGGATGATGAATTTCGAGCACGGGCACTTCATTATCCGACCAATCTAAGTGGGAGTTGGTTGGTTGGTTGGTTGGTTGGTCGGTTGGTTGGTTGGATGGATGGATGGTTGTTTGGTTGATTGGTTGATTGGCTGGCTGGTTGGTTGGTTGGTTGGCTGATTGTTGGTTGGTTAAAGTAGTAACTCTGGTCATGTTTTGGTTGGTTGATGTTTATAAAAGTATTCATGCTTGACTCATTCAACTTTTCAACACAAATATTTATTACATTTTATTCATTGACTTGTAAGTTTAATTACCAATCGATTTATCTCCACTCGACAGCTGATAAAATAAATCTAACAAAATAAGTGACCAACAGACAAACAATCTTACAAACAGACAAGCAAACGAACGAGCGAACGAACCAGCAAACAAACAAACAAGTAAACAGACGTAGACAAACTTTGGACTGTGGGTAGATGAGGTAGGCAATGCAGAGGAGGGGGACGGCAGGGATGGTGACCAGCCACATCAACATCTAATGAAATGCAACATTTGTTCGAATATTTCAAGTAAATTTTCACTGAATAATAAATAATATTAAAAATAATTAAGTAATTAATCAAAAATAATTTTTAAATATTAAAGAAATGAATGAGCAACCGTAATAAAACTGATTGGCGTATTAAGTCCTACGGAGAAAGTGTCACCTTTTGTGCCGTTGTTATTGCGTTACAAATGGCTCAAATACTACCCACCCAGAACTAAAATATTTTTACAGATCTTGAATATATGGAGAGTTAGTTCCACGTATGTTAAAGCGTATTGTGTGTTGTGCATGTAGGTAAGAAGGGCACAACACATGTATGTACGCATTTTGCAAACAAGCACTTTATCAACAGGTTTACAACAAAATTGTTGCAATAATTTCCTGATAATCATGAGGACGAAAAGTAATTTCTGAATAAGAGTTTCTAACAGGTGTGATGCTAATTTTTCCAGCCCAACGAAAGCTTCATATGCGTAAGAAACAAAACAGAAATACAAAAAACATGTAACCTAAAATGAAAGCAATAGTGAAATGAAATCGAAAGTGAAAGCAGCTAACTTTTTTCCAGTGAGAAGATGACTGCAGGAATGCCATCTCTTTACCGTACCAAACGCTCGTCAGGTGCTGCTGGCAGTTTGGGTGAGCCACGAACTTGGTCGTTGTGGTTGAAATCATCATTTATTAATTATGTAAATTTTACATTTAAAAACAATTTCAAGTTATTGAGTTTAAGTTGCTTCAAAATTAATTTATTATTATTATTATGAAAAAAACATGAGCGAAGATAAAATGTTCCTATGCCGCGACACAAAATAAACTATAAAATTTTAACACAAAAACAATGTACATGAATATATGTTAATATGTTCTGTTCCTACATAAAGATCAAGCAAAAATAAAAATATAAACAAAAATATAAGAGAATAATTTCTATTATTAATTCAACTACCTATATTTTATATATATGTATGCAAACCTTGCTTCATAAAAATTCCAGTTTCACCCAATCATATATATCGTCCTCTCTTAAAGACAATCATGTCAAAACAAACATTTATACCGTCATCCAAAATCTATAAACAGCATCACGAATAGTCATCTTTCAACTCCTCTCTCCAATCGTTTATAAATTTAGCATTTATAAGGAAATCATCCAACTTTTTTTAAACTCATTCAAATCACTGCAATTAATAACATCATCATTCAAATTATTCCAAATATTAATGGTTGTTCTATTAACAAAATAATTTTTCATAAGTTTATATGGAATGTCAGAATGTTAGTCTTATCTCATGTCTTCTTGTTCCTCTGGTGGCTGTATAAACTTCATTCACAAAGCTACAAACTTGGGTGTCATTTTTGGTTCTAGGCTGGCAATGACTGAACATATCAAGTTTTTATCTGGTACTACAACCCTACAACTGCAAAAATTAAAAATAATCCGCAAAAGCTCAACAAAAGATGTTATTCAAAGTTTAATGCATTCGTTTGTTCATTCTAAACTGGATTACGGTAACAGCCTATTTTATGGTTTGCCTGAAAAATCGTTATCTGTGCTTCAGTCAATTCAGAATCGGGCAGCTAAGATCGTGGTTGGTGCAAAAAAGTTTGACCATGTTACCCCGATATTCAGAGAACTGCACTGGTTGATGGTCAAAAAAAGAATTCTGTTCAAAAAATCAACAATCATGTTCAAATGTATGAAGAGAATGGCGCCAGTTTATTTCAAAGAAATGCATGCACCGAAACAACTGTCATTTAAAACTGTCTGCTTAAGGTCTGATGATAGCAACTTGCTTTGTGTGCCCAAAAACCAACTTGAAAATGGCGGAGAAAAGTTTCTCAGCAAGTGGACCAGCCGTTTGGAATGGTCTACTAAGTTATCTAAGACAGTCCGAACTGACAGAAAAAAAGTTCAAGAAATTATTGAAATCATTTTTGTTTTCATTATAAAATTTGGTTTATCGTAAGCAATTCAGCTGTTTTTTTAGATAGTGCTTTCGAGAAACATTTTGTTTGAAATTAGCGCTATACAAATTTTTGAATTATATATATATATATATATATATATATATATATATATATATATATATAAAGAAAATTGATTAAGGGAAATCTAAAAGCGCAAAATCCACAAAGGTGTGTTAAAAATATTATTGTTATAAAATTATTTGCTTGTAATAACTAGGGAGCTGTCAATAATGAGTGTCACCAATGAAAAATTGATTGATCGGTCAAAAAATTTGTGACACATGGTGTCAAGAATTCTAAGTGTCAAGAATGGCGCGTGGAAACAAAGACGCACAATCATCCAATTAAGTCAGTCGACTCGACGAAAAAGTTAATTGGTCAAATCTTTCCAAAGAACTTTCATCAAGGCGAACAAAAGTCTATATAAACGAGTTAATGAGAAAAAACTTTCATTCACCCTTGGTAACTCGACTGGACAACATCCAGCGTTTAAATAAAATTAAAAATTTTCCATCTAGTTGACACGAGGAAAAGAAAGCGGACAATCATTAAATTAAATCATAAGGCTTCAAAGAAAAGAAAAAAAACAACTTTATATCATTGCGACCACAAGTCTATATAAGTGAGTTGATAAAAAAAGATCATTCATTCAACCTTGGGAACTTGACCGGACAATATCCAGTGTTAAATTAATAAATCTAATCCAACAAATCGCAGTAAATAACATTTAGATCTCTACAAAAATGAGTCAACAACTAACCATTGGAAACAGTAGTAATGGTAACAACTACAATAGTATAAACAACAACAACTATCTGAACCCATTCTCAGATACTTTATCACCAGGGTTTTGTACAAACAGCCTGGATACTAATATTAACATGAAAACAAATACGCATCTCAGCAATCAGCCAACAAACAATTTCAACCACAATACTTTTTCAAACTCCGATGCAAGCATTCATGACTATCAAGATCTTGATAAATATTCACATCGACAAAATTTCAATCGGCATTATTTCAGTTACCCAAACTGTCATTACCAAACATATTATAATCAACAACGTCCATTTATTCAACATGCTAATCAACAACATTTCGACCAACAACATTTCGACCAACAACACTTCGAACAGCAATATTTCAATCCGCAACATTTCAATCAGCCAATATACAACGACCAATCATTAAATCAAAATATTTGCAGTGCAGAACAACTTTATGAACAACAATCATATCAACCAAAGTTCAACAAACAACATTTTGACAACCAACATTTCAGTTATCGATATTTCAACCAACAACATTTCAATCCAACACATTTCAACGAACAAAGTTCACACCAACAAAATAACAGCCACCAAAATCTCAACGGACAACATATCAACCAACGATATTTCAACGAGAATAACAACGCTTCAAATAATTTCTGCAGTTCTTATGCCTCTAGCAAATCAACACCTACTACAGATGCAACTCAGCCTTCTTCCTTTTGCTCACCCGAAACTAATTCAAACATTGAAAATAACAACCAGTTTGTTAATCAAAATTCTCAAAACATTAACGAAATTGCTCATCAAAGACTTTCGACTCCATATTTCAAGCAGCCAACAAATCCCTCAACATCAACTTCAGTTACTACATCATCCGGCCAAACAGTTGTTGCTGATCAACAGCAGATAACTTCAACAAAAGTGATTAAGAAAAGAGCCATTCTGTCGAAAGATAAAACACGAATATTAGAGAATTACTACCAGAATATCTTCAACTTTCCCTATCCTGATCGGGAAACATGTGAGTCCCTGGCCAGCCAGTGCGGAATTTCCGGCTCTCAAGTTAATAAGTGGTTCAGTAATAGGAGGAACAAGGACAAAAATACCAGGAGTCTAACCGACATTGCTAATAGGAGGGAAAGAGGAGGCAACTAAATTTCACTCTGCTGAATTGTTTTGTAATTATTTCCAACATTTGTAAATATTTTCAACCTTTGTAAATACCTCATTTGGTACATTTTTAAAATTAATTAATTGAATTTATTATTCTTTTTTTAATATTTTGTGATCTAATTTGTGATATATATATATATATATATATTATTTTATTATTTATTTATATTGTGATAATTTGTGATAAATATAACGATTAATATTTGACAGACGTTTTTTTGAGATATTGTTTTATTGGTATTTGGCATTTTGTTGATTTCAATTTTGTAATTATTTCTTTTTAATTTTTCATCAGAACATTCATTTTGACGGTGATGCTAATAAGATTTGTATTGAATTCAACGTGAAATTAGAGTTGTTTTTATTTCAAGACTAAAATTTGTGTGGATAGTATTGGACCTCTGGCATTATCTGCATAGTCGGGTTCATAGCAAAACCACAGTTTTTTTTATAGTCTTTCGTTTCCTAAGGTATGGACATTTTACCCACATCACATGTTAATGGACATGCGAATCCACACTAGGCGTAAACCTTCAAGTCGACAGAGATGGGCAAATTACACACTATATTGTAATTTCGATACAAATTACAAAATACTCTAAATATTGTAATTTCGATACCAATTACAATTTAAATTTAATAAAAAAGCTAAATTACTAAATACAAATTACTAATTTCGAATTACATGAAATTAAATTACTTCAAACCAGTTTTGAATAAATGAAGATAAAATTTTTTTTGAAGTTATTTAAACATTGATTATTCTTTGCGCTGATATTCTTTGATGTCATTTTTATATTCAATTATTAAGTTACTTTCTTTCTATCAACAATCTGCTATCATTTAATGAGAGACTGAAGAAAGAGAGACACTATTCACCACTACTTTTGAGTTTGCATATTCTTTGATGTCATTTTCATATTCTATTATTAATTTACATTCTTTCGATCAACAATTTGTTTAATTGTTTAATGAACGACTGAAGAAAGAAGGAAAGAAAAAAAGAAAGAAAGAAAAAAAAAGAAGCGTCAAACATCAAAAAAGTCAACTTCTTTGAAATTACTTTGAAATTAACAAATTACATGAAAGATGAAATTACCAAATTACAAATTACCAATTAATTAAAAAGTAATTCTGATACAAATTAAATAAAAATTACAATTGTAATTTGAATTACGTAATTTTCTTACTTGAATTACATTACTGCCCATCTCTGCAAGTCGATTTAATTTGGTTTAAAGTTTTATCAGCTTGGTTTGGCTTGGTACTACATAAACTTATTGTCCATCCCATCATATTCAGTTTTTTAAAATTACACCTCATTTTGTGGGATCTTAAAAGAAAATTACAGCATCACATTATTATTTCAACAATACATTCAAATGAAAATTATTTGATCGATCGATTTTCCATTTTCTCCGTATCATGAAATAAAATAAAATTGATTAAAGGAAATCTAAGAGAAAAATGCAAAATCCACAAAAGTGTGTTAAAAATATTATTGTTATAAAATTATTTGCTTGTAATAACTAGGGAGCTGTCAATAATGAGTGTCACCAATGAAAAATTGATTGATCGGTCAAAAAATTTGTGACACATGGTGTCAAGAATTCTAAGTGTCAAGAATGGCGCGTGGAAACAAAGACGCACAATCATCCAATTAAGTCAGTCGACTCGACGAAAAAGTTAATTGGTCAAATCTTTCCAAAGAACTTTCATCAAGGCGAACAAAAGTCTATATAAACGAGTTAATGAGAAAAAACTTTCATTCACCCTTGGTAACTCGACTGGACAACATCCAGCGTTTAAATAAAATTAAAAATTTTCCATCTAGTTGACACGAGGAAAAGAAAGCGGACAATCATTAAATTAAATCATAAGGCTTCAAAGAAAAGAAAAAAAACAACTTTATATCATTGCGACCACAAGTCTATATAAGTGAGTTGATAAAAAAAGATCATTCATTCAACCTTGGGAACTTGACCGGACAATATCCAGTGATAAATTAATAAATCTAATCCAACAAATCGCAGTAAATAACATTTAGATCTCTACAAAAATGAGTCAACAACTAACCATTGGAAACAGTAGTAATGGTAACAACTACAATAGTATAAACAACAACAACTATCTGAACCCATTCTCAGATACTTTATCACCAGGGTTTTGTACAAACAGCCTGGATACTAATATTAACATGAAAACAAATACGCATCTCAGCAATCAGCCAACAAACAATTTCAACCACAATACTTTTTCAAACTCCGATGCAAGCATTCATGACTATCAAGATCTTGATAAATATTCACATCGACAAAATTTCAATCGGCATTATTTCAGTTACCCAAACTGTCATTACCAAACATATTATAATCAACAACGTCCATTTATTCAACATGTTAATCAACAACATTTCGACCAACAACACTTCGAACAGCAATATTTCAATCCGCAACATTTCAATCAGCCAATATACAACGACCAATCATTAAATCAAAATATTTGCAGTGCAGAACAACTTTATGAACAACAATCATATCAACCAAAGTTCAACAAACAACATTTTGACAACCAACATTTCAGTTATCGATATTTCAACCAACAACATTTCAATCCAACACATTTCAACGAACAAAGTTCACACCAACAAAATAACAGCCACCAAAATCTCAACGGACAACATATCAACCAACGATATTTCAACGAGAATAACAACGCTTCAAATAATTTCTGCAGTTCTTATGCCTCTAGCAAATCAACACCTACTACAGATGCAACTCAGCCTTCTTCCTTTTGCTCACCCGAAACTAATTCAAACATTGAAAATAACAACCAGTTTGTTAATCAAAATTCTCAAAACATCAACGAAAATGCTCATCAAAGACTTTCGACTCCATATTTCAAGCAGCCAACAAATCCCTCAACATCAACTTCAGTTACTACATCATCCGGCCAAACAGTTGTTGCTGATCAACAGCAGATAACTTCAACAAAAGTGATTAAAAAAAGAGCCATTCTGTCGAAAGATAAAACAGGAATATTAGAGAATTACTACCAGAATAACTTCAACTTTCCCTATCCTGATCGGGAAACATGTGAGTCCCTGGCCAGCCAGTGCGGAATTTCCGGCTCTCAAGTTAATAAGTGGTTCAGTAATAGGAGGAACAAGGACAAAAATACCAGGAATCTAACCGACATTGCTAATAGGAGGGAAAGAGGAGGCAACTAAATTTCACTCTGCTGAATTGTTTTGTAAATATTTTCAACCTTTGTAAACATCTCATTTGGTACATTTTTAAAATTAATTAATTGAATTTATTATTCTTTTTTTAATATTTTGTGATCTAATTTGTGATATATATATATATATATATATTATTTTATTATTTATTTATATTGTGATAATTTGTGATAAATATAACGATTAATATTTGACAGACGTTTTTTTGAGATATTGTTTTATTGGTATTTGGCATTTTGTTGATTTCAATTTTGTAATTATTTCTTTTTAATTTCTGCATAGTCGGGTTCATAGCAAAACCACCGTTCTCTACCAGTTTTTCGTTTACTGAGGTATCGAGATTTTACCCACATCACATGTAAATGAACAAAAATACCAAGGGTCTACCCGACATTGCTAATAGAAGGGAAAGAGGAGGCAATTGAATTTCATTCTGCTGAATTTCGTAAAGTTTCTAATGGTTTCAAATATTTCCAACATTTGTGTAACTTACCAATATTAACAAATATTTCCGTCATCTGTAAATATTTTGAGACTATTTAATTTTATTTTATTTTATCATTTTTAATTTTGAACTCTTTTGTGATAATTTTCATAACAATCAAATTCGAACAGACTTCCTAATGCGAGATATCGTTTCAATGGTGTTTTACATTTCGTTGATTTCTAATACGCAATAAATTATTATTATTGTTTTTTATCACAAAATTAATTCTGACCATGATGAGAATTTCATTGAACCATAATTACGTTGAA